CCGTGGTGGTTGCCGTCTTCTGTGGCTGTCCCATCTCCTTTGGTTTTTACCTTTACTGAGAAACGGCTATGTGGTTTCTGTCAAATGGAATGTACTCTTCGAAAAAGGGATTCCAATATTAGCATCTTTTCCCTCATTCTGTTTCTGACACAATTTTCAGTGGAAAAGGGAAGGGCCTTACTGGTCCCTCTTGTCTGGAGACTGATTACATGGCTCCTGAACAGAAGAGGGCCGCGCCACAGCTGATCCGTAGCCACCAGCTTCTGCGAGGACACGAGGCAGGTTGTGGAATCGGAAGGACAGCTGTTGTCTGTGCTTGTTTCTCTGTAGTCCCAGGGAAGCTTCTGGCATACATTGCCCTCTGATGAATCTGGTTTGCTGGCTAGGGTAGGATGGAGATGCAGAGAGTGCAAGACCAGATCTGTAACTTTTGGAAATGAATCTCTAAATACTGGGGCGTTATGCAAGAAAAGGAAATAAGAGGAGTTAGGCAAATGAATAGGTATACTAGGTTTCATTTATAGTCTAGATATTGAAGTCAGGTCCATCTTTATGATAATAATAATAATAGCTCTAGTAAGCACTATTTTGACACAGATGTATCATTGGTGCAAAATGGTATGAAGAATCCCAAGTTCCTATAGTCCTTGGTCTTGCTAAAAAAATATTGCCCAAGTTTTGGGCTGGAAATATGTTTATTTGGTCAGATTTTAAGCCACCTGTCTTGAAAGGATTCTTTTGAGTTAGAATAAATTCCTTTAAAAATTGGAAGTGAGGGAATGAGATAGGAAGTGTCTGGCCTGATGTGGAGAAGACTTACACAATATGAAATACTCCTTGAATTGCAAGAACTTCACTGGGCTTCTAAAATAGAATACTCTATGACTGCTTTTTCAGTGCAGGAAAGCGGCTGTTTTCTATAATTGCTTTTGCTCGGACAAGCATTGCCACTTAATGTAAAACACATAACACATCTCCCTCTCTCCACACACATTGACTTGGACCATCTGCTTCTTAAATTTTTAATTTTACTGAAGTGGCAGATTTTTACTGCTATCAGTTCATATAATAAGGGTCTACATTTTGAACATTTCTTTGATCACTATCATGAGTCCACAAGATGGCAATGTTTTCTCAGGGAGTGAAGAAAGCTCTCAAGTGTGTGTGTGTGTGTGTGTGTGTGTGAGAGAGAGAGAGAGAGAGAGAGAGAGAGAAGAAGACAAGAGGAGGGGCTTGGTGGTGTAGCAGGGGTGGTGAAAAAGTCTGTTTTTTCCTAAATGGTAGGAAAGCAGAAGAATTTGAAATGTCTGAGCTAGACTCATTTTTTTTTAGGGCTTAAAATCTGAATCCACAGTGAAGCAGGGAAGGAAAGAATGATGAAGTCCTCAAGAGTTTTACTAGTGATCCTGTGGCTTCAGTTAACCTGTGAGTTTTGGGAATCTCTCTGGGAATATAAAGTACAATATTTGGGGTTTTCATCTATTCTGGACCTGTGGGTAGAAACATGAATATTTTTCCCCCACTAAGGGAGGGTTGGGGTAGGAGGCCTATGAAAATTCACTTAAACTCTGGGGAGCAAGGATTCACTACCCAATGAATATCCTTTGACTGACCACTGTCTTTTTGCATAGGGATGAGGAGTCAGCAGAAGGGAGTGGAGCAGAGTCCTGGATCTCTGAGCGTTCTGGAGGGAGCCACTGCCTCTCTCAACTGCAATTACAGTGACAGTGCTTCCCAGTACTTCACGTGGTACAGACAGTATTCCGGGAAGGGTCCCAAGCTGCTGATGTACATGCACTCCAAAGGTGACAAAAAGGAAGGAAGATTTTGGGGGCAGGTCGATACAGCAAAACAGTATGTCTCCCTGCTCATCAGAGACTCCCAGCCCAGCGACTCAGCCACCTACCTCTGTGCAGTGAGCACACAGTTCTCTCCTGGCACCTGCTCTCTGTACCCAAACCCACTAGGGCCCCAGCAATGCCCGATATAGAGCCTAGGCTTCAGGGTAGAGAAATTCTGTTTGCTCCCTAGATGCACACGGGAATTAAGAGCATTACCCATAGCCATAGAATGCCTTATACCCACAGGCAGAGCATGGGAGCACAGAATGACTTCAGATTTCCTGAGAAGAATCTCCAAATAAGTGCCTAAAAGAATTCCAGACACAGAGGAGCTTTGTTATGGTGATTAAAGACCTGATTGGATCAATTATCAAAACCATACGGTATTGAAGATGTCTTAGAAAATATTGGTGAGGGAAGTTGATAACACCAAAGTTTATATGAAGGCCCCCCTCCCCTGACTCCTTGGCACTTTGGAATTGCCCCACAACTTACGTCCAAGTCCAGGAAGAGTGTTTGTGGCCTGATAGAAATAAGACCTTGTAATGGATGTTACAATTACAGGGGGAAAATGTAAAAGTCACATTTATTGTAAAGTTGAAGATGTGGGCTGTTAGACAAGACATTGTTTATGTAGACCAAAGAGTGGAAAAACCTGGAAATGGGGAGTTAAGATTTCTGTTCAATTTTGTTCCCATAGTCACTGATTAAAAGGATGCAACCCAGTCGGGACTTGCTTCAAATTCTCAATCTGTGGACTGAAGACTCTTCACAAATATTTCTGAATCATGGAAGACAGATCTGAAAGGCAGTGAGAAAGAGCAGGAAGTTGTGGTGGATCAAGATACTTGAATTCTAGTTCTATTTGTGTTGTGTGTCTTCTGGTGTCATGGTGCACTGGAAAGAATTTGGTCTGTGGTGCCAGTTTGAATGTCTTTTATGTTATGGATGGGCCATTTGATCTTAGGCCCATATTATATATATTTCTCTTTTTTAAAAAAGATTTTATTTATTTATTTATTTATTGAGTATGTACAAGAGGGGGGAGGGGCATAAGAAGAGGGAGAGAAAGAATTGCAAGCAGACTCCTCACTGAGCTGGAAGCCTGACCTGGGGCTCGATGTCATGACCCTGCAATCATGACCTGAACTGAAATCAAAAGTCGGACACTTTTGGCTCCCCCAGCCCATATTCTGTATATTTCTATCATATATATTTCAGAATTGATTTCTGGAATAAATGAGATTCTCTCTATATTTTACTATGCTTTTCACATGTTAGTACAGTAGCTGGATGGAGCATACGGAGGGAGACTAGCATAGCTAATCCACACATGGACCTTCAATTTGTCCCCTGTGTTCTGTCCCTCCTGCCCTCCATCATACTCTTTCTCGGCCCAGAATCTCTTCAGGGTCCTAAGAAGTAAATTTTCTTCACTCACATTTCTACTGACATCTTCTCATGCTTCATTCTGGGCTATGCTTTTCCCCTCTCTCACTCATCACTGTGCTCACATCTACTTTCCCTCTTATGGGATTGTTGATATCTTTTATATTTTTATTATTTTCCCATTATGGATTTAAGTTCATCCCGTTTATGCTTCCAAATTTTATTTCAGTGGCAATTTTGGGGAGAAAGGAGGCGAGTACATACGCTTAGTCAGATATTTTGAATCAGAAACATATCCCGGTACATTTAAAATTTCAAACTGGCTGTGGGATTTGGTTCCATGTGTGAAAGAAATCTATAGGCAGGGTCAAAAATAAATCAGAAGCCAGAGGGAGAACTGATTTCAGGCTGGTGCAAGTCAACAAAGGATGCAGAAAGGATTGAGTTGTTCTGTCCTTCTGAAAAGGACTCCTGTTGACCAGATTCTCATTTCACCTGAGATTTCTCTCTTTAGTTCTTTCAATTTTAAGGTTTCAGTGGTCTCTAAAATAAGCCGAGGAGGGAAGTCTTCTCCTGTCAGAGTTCCATCTTACTCTTAGAGCACAGAGCAGACTCCCCCCGGTCAGTAGGCCCTGTGCCTGCTGCGTAGACTGTTTTGCTTCACTACACTGAGTGTCCCTGACGATTCACTTCCATGGCTTCTACACCTGCCCCTGGAAGTTCCTCTCATTTCCGTTACGCTGGCTGCACTCCGTCCAGCCTTGAGTTCATATCGTTTCACTATTTTTTCTCTTTCCTTAATTCCTTCTAGAATCACTTATTTATAGGTCATATTTTCCTTACAATTATAATTCTGCTCACTTTTCTGCAAATGCTCCTCTGTCAATGTTCTTTTTAGCGTGAGGTCCCCATCATTTGCCAAAATATATCAGTCTGTTCTGACCATCGACAATTAGAACAGGACTCTCCCTTTCTCTCCTTAAACATGGGGTGCCCAAGTTACTCTCCCATAGCCTAAACACACATCAGACGTGTTCACCTGAAACCAAGGAATCTTCTTCAGACTTTCGGCCTGACAAAAAAAATTATTGCCTTAGTAAGTTGGCACTGATTAGATAATGTCACATCTTCCAGGCTAATTTTAAGTGTCATTCAGCAGCACAAGGCCATACGAAGCTCGGCTCAGCTGAGGCAATTGATTTTAGTCATTCTGCCTGATGAATGGCTTTAAAAGGTAATACAGAGCCTCTCAGTGGTACACCAAGGTCTAGAATATTGTCTTCTGTGACTAATTTCTCAGTGAAGTAAATTACTCTTCTATTTTTACAAAGCTCCCATTTCTCCCTTATTTTAGGATTAATGCCATGTACTACAGAAGGTGACATCACCACAGATTCAGGGGGGCAGAAACACTTTCTGTTGAAGTTCTGAGGATCACCTCTCTGAAATGAGAACAGAAGACAGCTCGCTCTCTTAGATCTTTGGCCCTGCCTCTGGAGGCAGACGGTGATGCTGCACAGATGAAACGTTTGTTCTGGTGGCAGGTCATCACCAGACACTCAGCCCCTCCTCCCTGCAGTGCTGACATCTGTGAAGAGAGGAAACTGTGACAAGAAGAGGCCCGAAGAGGAAGACTCCTTCTCACAGTCTGAAACTCGTCAAAGCACGGGACTTGTCCAGCCCAACCTCCCCACTCTTCCTGTAGCTCTGAAGGCTCAGCGACCTTGGCTACTGTCCCACCTCCTCAGCAGCCCACAGTGTCTCCACTGCTCAGCCATGCTCCTGCTGCTCATCTCAGTGCTTGAGGGGATTTCTGCCCCAAGTGAGTAACACTCCCTTTCCTTTCCTTCCTAAACAAAAGTGACGGCGTTCTAATCGGATGCAGAATAAAGACACCTTCTCTTAATAGGTAAGTCTGTCTTGGACTCACTGACTCAGGATTGATGTTTCAGGAGGAACTGGAGCCCAGTCGGTGACGCAGCCTGATGCCCACGTCACTGTTTCTGAAGAAGCTTTTCTGGAGCTGAGATGCAACTATTCTTATGGTGGAGCTCCTTATCTCTACTGGTACGTGCAGCACCCCAACCAAGGCCTCCAGCTTCTCCTCCAGTACGTATCAGGGAACACCAAGGTTCAAGGTCCCAAAGGTTTCGAGGCTGAATTTAAGGACAGTGAAACCTCTTTCCACCTGAAGAAACCCTCAGCCCATTGGAACGACTCAGCTGTGTACTTCTGCGCTGTGAGTGACACAGTGCCTGGGACTGCAGGGGGAGCTGAACACAAACCTCCTGAGACACTGGGACTTCTTGTGACCAAGAACTCAAGACAGAGTTTTCCAAGATCTCCTTTTCGGTGAAGGAAAATAGGGCAGGACAGGCTGGGCCCTGGGGAACACTTACCTCCTAAAGAGTTGCTTCAACAGCAATGCTGTGCTACATTCAGATAGACATTGTTCCAGATGGAGGTCTTCTGATGAGTTTCTCCAGGAGAGAGGCACCCCACCAATTCCCCACCCCACTCCCACTCTGAGTATATCATTAAGTGTCAGAGTTCTGAAATGAAAAAGGCAAGAGCATTTTTATTAAAAAAAAAATTTCTAGCATTCATTAAGGTAATTAGCACTGCCCCAGGTGTTGATCTACACGTGGAAAACTGAAGTACTTGCTTATAATGTTAGCTGACAAGTTGTGCCACGTACATTCTCAACGAAGGCAACATGTACAGCATAGATTCTTTTTTTTTTTTTTATTTTAAAGATTTTATTTATTTATTTGAGAGAGAGAATGAGATACAGAGAGCATGAGAGAGGGGAGGGCCAGAGGGAGAAGCAGACTCCCCGCTGAGCAGGGAGCCCGATGCGGGGCTTGATCCCGGGACTCCAGGATCATGACCTGAGCCGAAGGCAGTCGCTTAACCAACTGAGCCACCCAGGCGCCCCTGTACAGCATAGATTCTTAATCAGTTCAATATAGAGTCTCGACCTAGATTTGAAGCTTAACTTCTAGCACATACATAATATCCAACTGTGTGACACTAACATATTTTAAAGTAAAATAGACATCACGATATCTACATTTCCAATCGTGTGTAACACAAAACCAGTGAACTTATTTTACATGATTCTTAAAGCACTATTGATCTAAAAGCCACCCAATCATAATTGTTTTTTGAAATAGTTATCCCAGTGATTTCCAAATTAAAAATTTGAGGCTCCTAACCCATACAAAGGTATATCAAATATAATATCTGCTGAAAAACTCTTAGGTATTTTGTAAGAAGTCACACTAATTCATGATGTAATATAAAATCGCATACTCAACAAAGATTTCTAATCTTTCAAAACACATTAACAAAGTTCATAGGAAAATCGATCTCCATGACCAAAGTTCACGGGATCAAAGATTACATTAATTCTAATAGGGATATCCAAAACCAGGGAATATTTTTATTTCCTCTGAAACAACTGTATCAAAGAGCTCACATGTTTAAGATACTTTATATACATGATTATGACTCTAAATTATTATTTGTGATTTATGTGATTAAAAAAATTGCCCCCAAAATGTTATAAAAGTTTATACACACAGAAATTAAACCTCACAGAGCAGAAATTAATTTTGAAATTAGCAATAAAGTAAGCAATTATACTTCATGTCCCCCAAATTCTTTCTACATCTCTGTTCATCTCCTCTTTCTTTCAAAGATTATTTTTAAGTAACCTCCACACCCAACATGGGGCTCAAAGTTACAACCCAGAGATTATGAGTCACATGCTCCACCAACCAAACCAGCCAGGCACCCCTATCTCGCCCTCTTTTATTTTCATCTGGGAAACATCTCTAGTACACTCCCAAAATAATATTTCTACTTAATCTATTGATAACATTCCTTTCTATCTTTTTTGGGAAAAGGACAAAATGATCACGTTCTTATTAAATCTTTGTCTATCTGTCCTCTAAGAAATGTCTGCTTATTTCTGGATTCATTTTGTACTTTTCTGGGAAGCTATTTGGGATGTGAATACACACACACTTACATGTTTGTCTTTCCTGCTGTACCTCAGTGTCTTAAGAGTAGTGACAATGTTTCATTCAGTTTTTGATTTCTTTTTTTTTATGCTTATAATTTAAAATTTTAATTTTTTCTTCATAGAACAATATTAAATAGCAAATTATAAACATGAGGAGAAGTGGGAGAAAGACCATGGGAGACAGGAAAAGCTTTATATTTAATACTTTT